CCGATAATTTGACCACTTGTTCCAGCTCTTATCTGCTGCTTCGTGTTACAGGGAGATAACTGTGTCGTCATGAATCTTGCTCCATCTTCCCCTCGACCCGGGAGACAATGAGGCAGGAAGTGGCGTACGATGACGACTTCCTGCCACTCGAAATTCAATCAACAACAAAACAACAGGATGTGCAGGGCGGCCGGCTCCTTCACCTACCTATCTCCACAGTTTGTCCCATTTTCAACGCTCTTCTCGCGCACATCTGTACAGTGTGCAAGTCTGAGGTCAGTGGGTTTATGGTAGTGTAGGGAAGTCCTGGTTTAGACATACAAGGGTCAGACTCGTACTCGTCAAAATCTGGCCCGTGTGCAAAATCCGGCCCGCAAGACCATTGTTAGTGGCCCTTGGAATTATTTTCAATTATATGATTTGAATTTAATTTGAATATTTTATTCTGAGCCATAAAGAAAGCACTGTACCCACACACAACAAAAGAATGAAGAACACACACAAAACAGGTACAGGGAGAATCTGTACAACATATGATATTATAAATAATGTATCTTTATCGCTGTAACTTGCAGCATTGATGTTAAAGGGTTACTATGGCATTCACTGCGTTACATTTAATCTTAAAGCCTATTATCTGAGGAAAACCATCATATAATTGTATTCGTTCTAAAATGTTAACTAACATGTAATTAGAAGTTATTGTAACTTAATTATTTTTTTCATTTTTTTAACTAGCAGTCTTCTAATGCATATCTTTTTGATATTTGGCCTAGTTGTTGTTGAATCATAACTTACGAGATAATATTCAAACTCTTGCCAAACACATTGAATTAAAAAACCTGGCACCCACCTGATCTTATGTTTTTGACACCTGTAAAGTATATGAGACCTGGGCAGAGGACCACTGTTCAATGAATGAATGTGCAATGGCTGGAAACTTAATAAGGGCATGGCATGTTATCCCTCATTTTAAACTATTTTATTCTCCGGAAAAAGAACCTTTCCATCAGTGAGGATAGAGAAGAGAGAGGAGAGAGAAGAGAGAGGAGAGAGGAGAGAGAGGAGAGAGAGGAGAGAGAAGAGAGAGGACAGAGGAGAGAGAGGAGAGAGAGAAGAGAGGAGAGGGAAGAGAGAGCTGAGAGAGAGGAGAGAGGAGAGAGAAGAGAGAGAAGAGAGAAGAGAGAGAGGAGAGAGAAGAGAGGAGAGAGAAGAGAGAGGAGAGAGAGGAGAGAGAGGAGAGAGAGGAGAGAGGCGAGAGAGGAGAGAGGAGAGGGAAGAGAGAGGAGAGGAGAGAGAGGAGAGAGGAGAGAGAAGAGAGAAGAGAGAAGAGAGAGGAGAGAGAAGAGAGAGAAGAGAGGAGGAGAGAGGAGAGAGAGGAGAGAGGAGAGGGAAGAGAGAGGAGAGGAGAGAGAGGAGAGAGGAGAGAGAAGAGAGAAGAGAGAGGAGAGAGAAGAGAGAGAAGAGAGGAGAGAAGAAGAGAGAGAGAAGAGAGAGAGAGAGAAGAGAGGAGAGAGGAGAGAGAAGAGAGAGGAGAGGGAAGAGAGAGGAGAGAGGAGAGAGAGGGGAGAAGAGAGGAGAGAGGTAGAGAGAGAAGAGAGGAGAGAGAGGAGAGAGAGGAGAGAGAAGAGAGAGGAGAGAGAAGAGAAGAGAGAGGAGAGAGAAGAGAGAGAAGAGAGGAGAGAGAGGAGAGAGGTAGAGAGAGAAGAGAGGAGAGAGAGGAGAGAGAAGAGAGAAGAGAGAGGAGAGAGGAGAGAGAAGATAAAAGAGAGAGGAGAGAGAAGAGAGAGAAGAGAGGAGAGAGAAGAGAGAAGAGAGGAGAGAGGAGAGAGGAGAGAGAAGAGAGAAGAGAGAGGAGAGAGAAGAGAGAGAAGAGAGAGAAGAGAGAGGAGAAAGGAGAGAGGAGAGAGAAGAGAGAGGAGAGAGGAGAGAGAGGAGAAAGGAGAGAGGAGAGAGAAGAGAGGAGAGAGGAGAGAGGAGTTCTGCCGTGTGGCTCTGTACTCTGCCCCGTATGTGATGTCAGCAAATACGTGGTCAGATGAAGATAATGATCAGTGGATTTTTTTTGTTCCCTTTGAGCAAAAAAAAAAAACAGTTCAGGACAGAATCAGAAAAGTTAAACGTTGCGTGTGTGTAGTCTGTGATTCACAAATATTTATATTTTTTATTGCTGGCTTTTTCTTGACTTATTCTTCCATTTGATCAATGTGTTCGGATCACAAAAGCCCGGTGAATTGTAGGATGAGGATGTGAACGGGGTGCACCCTGATAAACTTTTGCTTCTATTTTTGAGCTTTGTCTTGTGAATATACAAATCTGTATATAACCTTTACCTTTGTGTGCTCAAAAAATAAAACAATAATAACAATAATAATGATTTTTTTTTCATAAATTTGAGACACAAAGCTTAACTGCAACTCAAGAAAATATTAAGGAATTGTCCCAAAAAAAATACATTTGCAACAAAATTTTAAACAATAATGTAAGTAATAATAATAATCCATTAGTAATACAGAAGCAATCATAGCATATTCTGTATTTGATCTCACCTAGACCTGTATTTCTGCACACAAACTGAGCCATGGTTATTAAAAATATAAAAAATGGTTCAGCTCGATTGTCAAGCACAAGGTCATTGCCATAATGCAATTGATCAATCGTGTGTTTAGCAAATGTGTGTCGAGAGGCAAGCTTATTTAGATAGCACAGTTCATACACAAGACAGTTTCTCACGGGGGAGACACAGGAGGACACACTCGCACTGGTCTCAGTAGGTTCCAGTCTGTTTTTTTTCAGTATTGATGTGATTACGGGTCTAAAGCATATACGTCTTATTGTGTTTTTGGAGTTTGCAGATAATATTGTGTGGCGTTAATTCTCAAAACAGCAGGCAAAAAATGCATACGTTTGTATTATTTCTATTTATTGAAGTGCATTGTGCATTGTTTTTGAATAGGAGAACTGTTAATAAAACTGGTAGAGGTGAATAACTGTAAATATTTGAATAATAACTCTAAGCTTAGACAAAAGAATCTTAAAGCTGAAGTATAAAACACTAAAAGGACCTTTGCATAAGTGCCCTTTACTGTTAAGTGCACTATGCAAATTAGCAGAAGAGAATGGACTAAATGTAATGTTTTTACTGCTCAAGAACCTAATTTCCTACATTGGCCCGGCTCTCCTTGTGTGGCTTGTAGCTTAGTCCAGGGAAGTCACTCACTAGTTTGCAATCTAGATGCGAAGGGTTATGCCATACTGGGGAGCATTTTTCGAGACAACAACATTCAGATACACACAATTTCCTCAATATTCAAATTCAGCATGATTTAAAATTTCATTCACAATTAAATTTGTCCACTTTGGTATTACAGTATTTGCTCAAAATGACAAAGAATGAGCCATATCTTTAAATCATACACACAATATTATATTATATTATAACCCTAAGAGATGGGGTGATGCGTTGAGGAGCTCATTCACACAGGAGCTTGGAGTAGAACCGCTGCTCCTCAACAGCAGCAGAGGTGGCCTGAGTACTATAGTTTTGGAAGATTTTTCGACGCTTTCCTGGAGAGGTGTCCTGGGCACATCCCACCAGGAGGAGACCCAGGGGAAGACCCAGGGACACACTGCCTCTCAGTTGGCCTGGGAACGCCTCAGGATTCCCCCGGAGGAGACGGAACGGACTGAGGAAAATAGATGTTTTATCACTTGACTATGCTAACAATTTGATCTATAAGTCGATTATCCAAAAGTCGATTTTGGATATTAAATGAAAATACTCCATACAACAATGATTTCCAAAATGATTTCTAAAATGCTAGATATATTATGTTTCTGTGTTTGCGAAGCCCCTTGTTTCTTCCTGTGCTTTATGCATAAATATGTCTTGGCGTTGTCATGCCAATGGTACTTTAAATACTTTTTTTCATTTCATTTATTTCGGTTTGGTCATTTACAGATCATTCAAACAAAACATTTGAAACTTAGAACACAATAAATGACCAGGTGCAGGCAGAAGCTAGAGCTTATTGTGCCTGCCCTTAACTTCAAAATCATAAATGCAGCACATTAATGACAACATCTATTCATAAAATTAACACATTAATGGACCATTGTCCACACCAGAAGAATTCAATTTCATTCCATTAAATATTAATGCTACTAAGTTATTTATTTATGCATCTTTACTTAACCAGGAAAATCCCACTGAGATTTCAGAATCTCTTTTTCAGGGGAGATCTGGTCTGGTGAGGTGGAGGAGGGTGTTATGGGGGACTATGGTACACATTTTTAGTGGTAGGGGAAACCGGAGCACCTGAAGGAAACTGACACAGACACGTGGAGAACATGCAAACTCCACAAAGAAAGTTCTGCTATTACAATCAAACCCAGGACTTTCTTGCCAATGTACCACAATGTTGATTATTAGACAATATTTTGACCTGGGCATCATCTCACACCAGAGCTGGGCAAAGTGTGGCCTGGGGACTGCATTCGGCCCGATTCACTTTACTATGCGGCCCCTGGACTCTTCCCAGCCGGTCTACTCATACTGATCTGTTCCTTATTTATATTAATCCCCCATAAAGACTTGTAACTTAGCATGTGTTACTATGGCATGTTATACACTTGTTCTGTTTTCATGTGGTGAAAAACGGGTCCTACCCACTCTCTCTGTGTCTTGTCTCTCTGTGTATTGTCTGTCTATCTCAGGTCTGTTGTGTCTTCTTGTTTGACCATCCCTTTTGTTTTGCCTTTTTTGAAATTGATTGATGCCTGTATGACTTTTGTTGGATGCAGAGGACATTTTTTGGTTGTAGTTGGGCATCATTTTGTTTTTGAATTGTCACTGCCATCTGTCATAGGTTGTCAGGCCTTGAAAAAATGCAAATAAAGACAAAAAATAGGGCTGTATCCAAATATGTCTCCCCAAAGAACATAATTGCCAACCCCTGTCCCACACCATCAACACTGCTACAATGTTAAACAGCACTCACCCAGTCTTCATAGTGCCTGGTCCCGTTCTGGAGTAGGTCTTCCAGCTGGATAGTGCAATTGGCCACAAAGTCGTCATATCCAATGGGAGCGTCGTGAAATACGGACAGCTCCAGACTGCGGCCCTCTCTCACTTCGGTGCAGAACTCCTGATGCCAAACCGGGCTGTTGGTTTTGGTCCGGGTTGCGGTCTGTCCCAGCCGGGTTTGGTCCAGGTTTAGCGCCAGGTAAGGGTCCAAGAGGAAGGACCCGCTCTTCCCCACGGCGTGACGCAAGGCCCACGCCGTCGGCTTCAAATCGACAGCCTCGCAAACTTTGACTTTGAGTAGGCCGCTGAAGACAGGCATGGCTACTGGTGCGAAAAGGTCCAAAATACTGACTGGAGTGCAAGTCTTTCGGATTACAGGCGCATCACTGGAGGATGTATTGATAACAACCAAAATAATTGATTACACAGGTCACAACATAATAAGGAATCGTGACTAATTCCATTCAATCTTGATCATGTGGGTATAAAGCTACTCACAGGCTTAAAGAATGTATTAGTAAAACTTTACTGTTTGGTCATGGAGCCGGTAATTTTAAATAATCGCAAATAATCCTGTCGTGTTTAATCGCGATCACGCTACTAACATCGGAAATCGCGACATCCCACTCATTCAAATAAATAAATTAAAGCTAGGTAAAGTTAGGGCACATAATCCAAAAGTCTTTACATTCACGTTCACAGATTCGTCATTGTGCGTCCGCAGTGGGATTGACAGCAACACGTAGGCATGCAAGCGAACCCCTAAAATAAGAAGTCGTCTCCCAGGTATACGCTTGTTTAAACAAAACAAAAAATCCTCAATAATAAAAATGGCAGACGGTCATGTACACAGTTATGCAATTCGAGGTCACAGATGTGAGCAGAGACAGCGGCGGGAGGTGCAGTCGAGGCTGTTGAATCGCTAAGGAAAACGCGGTTGCGCCATGACAAAATCCAGTAATTCTCCTCCGGTCTTGTAGGTGAAACCCCAGCGGCGTGAAACGACGTCTGCCACCCGCTTCACAAAACGCAGATAGTCCCCAGCAACATCACAAACACACACGTATACACACACACAGAGAGAGAGAGAGACAGCCAAAGACCTGGTCGCCTTGTCGCCTCGCCTCCTGTATGTAGCTGCGTAATAACGGTGCCAAAAAGTGCGCCAATACTGCAAGAATCTGTGCAACAAAAACGTGGCTGTAGCGTCTCTGTGTCAATACCTCCCAGGCGAGCTTCGTTTTGTTTATAGGCGCTGTAGGGGCGGTCGCAATCCGGGTTTTCTCTGGCCACAAACAGCGAGTAGCTCCTTCCACGCTTGCCTTTATAGATATATATGTGTGCGTAATCTTGGACTGCCTTTGGGTATTTTATCCCCGGGTCAGGGCGGGGGACAAGCGGGAGAAGCGACGCATAGCCACCCCGCTTTTCTCTCGCTCTCTCTCTCTCTCGCTGGATTCGCCTTCTCTCCCCAGTGTGTGCGTGTGTGATTGTGTACGTGTATGTGTGTGTGTGTGTGTGTGCGTGTGTATGAGAGAGAGAGAGAGTGTGAGTCCCTCCTTCCTTAGCTCTGCCTGGGATTATCCTTTCGATAAAAAAAAGACAGCGCGATGCTTGCTACGCATTCAAAAACGATTGGTTACATGCAAAATACGATACAAATGGACAAGTTAACAAGGGTATTTTTGTATATATATGTGTGTGTGTTGTTGTTATAGCTATGCACCCCCTTTACGCACTCCCGAATCCACTAGGCAAGCAGCAGCAGCAGCAGGAAATGCGAAATAGACGTCACTAGCCGGATGAGAGTTTGCAGTGTTGGAGAAAGGTTTTTTTCTTCTTTTTTCTTTTTTTTAGGGGGATGGAATTCTGCTCCAGGCCACAGACAGCCAATAGTTTCGCCAATGCTGTCAATAATGAGACTGGGTCAATGCGCAGGCACACTACCAGGCTTTCTATCTTACCAAAAGGCACACATAAAGGGGAAGATATCTATCTTTTTTAAAAAGCTCAAAATATATATATGTACGAACTTACGTCTGCAGTCTGGCGAGCCTGGAGCACACAGGCCGCTCAGAGCACAGACATTGTAAGGTGCGTAGGATGGTTTTAAAGCTCGGGTACGTAACTTTTTTTGTGGCTTAAATCAAAACGGCAGAAAGAGTCTTGTCTATAAAGTAAATAATGTTGCGAACAAATCAGACCACGCCATGCTGCCTTTAACTGAGCAAGAACCTGTTGTGTTGTGGATTCTTGTAAGGAACAGCCATGTGAGTCAGAATTTGACGCTTTGGGCTAAGTGAGAGCTGATTGGCTGGGTGAGGGTGGTTCTCTTTTTCACTTTTTTGCCTGAAAAAGCTGAGCTAAAGATTGTTTAGAAAATTATTATCGCTAAAATTATTTCTTTCTATATTGTATATTCTATATGTATATTCTATATTACGTTAAAATGTCGAGTCAATAGACTATTAGCTTAGAATAAATAGAAAGTGGTTGTATTTTAATTAGAAAATAATGTGATGCCAATAATGTATCCACAGAAGTTTTTTGATTGCTTTTCTTGTTTCTTCTGTCTTTGGGACAACAGATATAAACCAGGATTTTTGCTCTAATATGTATTATTCCACTGGATTTACATTCATATCAATAATCAATGGTTTTTATGACACAAAAAGCCATGTCTCATCAAACCCATGTGGGAAAGTATAATCCAGACAGTTCAGTTTTAGATGAGAAAATGGGAGGAATTAAACCACTATATATAAAAAAAATCGTAAAATCAAGATTAAAGTTAATTCTATGGATTATGATAAATGGTTAGTTAAAACTTGCATAAGGGGAAAGCAGTAGCGGAACAGGCTTAGGGAAGTCTTATAGCGCCCTCTGCTGGAGTCAAGACCACATCACGAAATGATGACAGCAGGAGAAAGTCAACTTTAGGGGGTGCTACAATACATTATGTGGTTTTCATCTTGATTCAAACACATTTTATGTCAGTGGAACAACCTTCTTTAGTCTTGTGTCATGCATGGTATACCGCAATTGTATTTCTTCATCCATTGGCAAACTTGTTTTAAGACCATCAAAGTTTTCTCTAATTCATTTTGGGCAATTTCTTGAGCACTTTATGTATGAGACCCTTTTTAAAAAGTTGCATGGACAAGTCTAAGGATCTATACCTGTATAGTGGAATAATGAGGCTATACCCCCATGGCCACATCACCATGGCAACTGAAAACTCCACAGAAAAATGTTTAGACTTTAGAACAAATGCAGATACATTAAATGGGAAGACCGGAGTAAGGAGAGCATGCATCAGCAGCAGAGCATACCAGCAACACATGTTAATGGTAACTGTATTATTTATGAGAAAACTTAGGTACCCTAGCTTTAATTAAGACCAAAATGTGTGGATAGAGTGGGACAAGCTGAGCTTTCATGTCTGTATTTCTCATTTTAAAACATATTGAATCATTTATGTCCTTTACTCAATGTCGGAAAGACTTGTTCTCCGTCTGACAGTTTTCTTCACTTCCTTCCCTTTTGCGGCTAAAGCTAGGGCCAATTCATTTTATTTTTTAAATTTTGTATATGTTTTGTATTTTTCTTTTGTATAGCCCTAAATTTGCCAACACAGATCACCCCCTGCAGGACACTCTCTCTGCTCTGGAGAGCAGCTTCAGTGACAGACTAATTCACCCTCGATGTGTGAAGGAGAGGTTTCGCAGGTCTTTCCTTCCTGCTGCTGTCAGACTGTACAACGAGAATGTGTAACAGGAACTGCTGAGTCTGCACAAGTGTTTCTGATAAATCACTAGTAACTTTGTCACTAGTCACTTTACCTGTTATCAGTACTACTACAGTACTACATATCTGATATTTACTGTTATCAGTACTACTGTATTATTTCATATCTGATAATTCTGCCTTTCACCGTCACTTTACCTGTTGATATCTTACTGTATTATTACATATCCATCTGATGATTCTCCCATTCAAGTCACTTTACCTGTTGATATTATTTCTGATGTTTATTCTGCTCATATCCTCATATTCTCCGCTGCTAATGTATAATATAGACATCTGTAAATACTCCGAACCAAGTGCAATTATAGCCCAGAGTTTCTTATTTTATTTTATTTTATTTTATCTTAAATTTATTGTCTATTATCTTAAATAATATACTTTGATGTGTGCAATCTGAGTGCTCTTAATTCCTTTCTCTGCTGTAATGTGCAACGATGACACTGAAATTTCTCCACTGTGAGACTAATAAAGGTTTATCTCATCTTATCTTATCTTAGAATCCAACAGTTCAAACTCAGGAAATGCAGTGATAAAAAACACATAGAGCCATTGGTCCGTAAATGTAAATAGATTATCATACTTTTGCATAGTATTTTTTTTTTGCCGATGCAGATTGGTCCAAGTGCAGCGATGATCCGGGACTTTTAAAGACATTTATTAACATACTCCCCTTATGGACCAATGGCTCTATGTAGGCTCATGATTCTTTGATCTGTTGTTGGTGAATCGACAACTTTGTTAAGTCCTCCGAGACAATTGCTGTTGTGATTTAGGACTTTACACAAATAGATTGAATGGAATTAGTCTTTTTTTTATACATATTATTTTTCTATATGCAAAAAACTGTATGTATTTTTACCCATGGACCGTATTATATTGTGTCCTTAACATTCATTTCTTTCTAAGTGGGATGACTGTGGTCTGATGCAGTGATCTTCTAACGTCAGCTAAAACACAACTTCAACAAGACATGTGCATATTTCAATCTTAAATAACTTTATTTGTACAAAATATGAGAACATTGAGTCATTGCTCACACCGGCCACAGCCGTCGACAGAACAGAACAGGAAATACACTGCAGCAGCTTCAAATCTATTCATTTCCAAACAATTTTGAGCAATGATTAAATAAAACCTGAGTCGAGTTTTAGAAAGAGGCGCCTAATGAGTCCTGAATCCATTTTTTGTTTGGGATTTTAACACAGTCCACTTGAAGCTGCAGGATTAAATCTATAATTATTGAATTTCTTTGCAAACACTGAGGAAAATCAAGATGAAAACTGCAACAAATATAGAAAAGTGAATAAATGCTTGAATAGTGTCTTGTTTTGAGCCCAGTTTAAATGTCTTTCCACATTAGCCAAACAAAATTATTAAAGATAAGTCTCAAGCGGACTGTTCCATTGCCCCATCGTCAACATAGCCTCAAATTAAAGCTGGGGTACCTAAGTTTCAAACCACCTAAATGCAACTGTTTCTATATCTCTCAAAACTGTTTGGATCTCACTAGTTTTCACAAACACATAGGCCTCTGTCTCATCTTTACATCGGCTTTTTTCAGGAAGAGAGAGAGAAGAGAGACTCACAGGGCGCTTTCTTGTTAATGCAAAGGATAAAATGTTTACTAAAGACATGTCGAGGTATGATTGGTTCATTTGATACTTTTAGACTCTTTCTATTGAGACAAACAGCCAGTATAATTTACAAGACAGACAGTTTGGTATCCCAGCTTTAAGATACAAGAATCAAGCATTTTTTAACGAACATTTTGTCATATGTTGCTATGTACCGGTAGCTTTGTCAGTATTTCATATAGAGGGATTTTGATAAGACTAAAACGATTATTTATGTCTGGACGGTATGGATTTGCAGCAATATGGACAATACCATTCAAAATTGTGTCAGGCAAAGTTTAGGAAACTTAAAAATCTCCTTAAATGTTGTACAATTCTTGTATTCTTAGTTTATCCATGTGTGTGTATCTGTCTTTTCAAAAATCATACTTTTTGAACAGCATTCAGGCCTTAGTCGAGCAGACAGAGGTGACGTCTTACATTTACAACGCAGGTCACAAATGGGAGGTAGATTCATGGCGATTGTCTACTACTCAGAGAACTCCATAGTCGTCAATTTACACATATTTACAATAAAAGAGATTTGCTGGTGTTTTGAGGAAAGATGAGCAGCTGTTAGATTTATGATTAACTACAAAAATGATGCCGTAAAAACAGAAGGACAGAAAAGTGGAATTAGATGAGTTCAAAGTGCTTGTCAATTTTGTTTTCATGGGGTTGTATGCAGATATTTCGAACAAAATGTCAGAATATTTTCAGAAACAGCAAGACGAGAGTTTTAAAAATAACATTTGGGATGCATCCAAGTTTGGTGTGCTCATTAATACACCAAAATAATCACTGACAGACAATCCACTTTTCTAAATTTAAGATAACATAAAAGGCCATAGAGAAGACGTTTAGACTTATTTGTTAAATATTAAATTAGGCCACCCCCCTGACCCAGAAATGGATTAAAGGGAAGAAAATGGATGGATGGATGGATAAATTAGGTCTTGACCTATTCGCAGATCAATATATTTAATTATGGTTGACCAGTTTAGAAAGAAAACTGTTGTTTTAATGCAGTCTCTTTTCATCTTGCATAAGTGAAGTCTGCTCAATATTATTGTCTTTTGTGTTTTTGCGTTTCTCCCTACATTTCTGCAAGCAGTCCACCCAGAGCCGGCCCTACCCAATGGGCGGACTGGGCAGCTGCTTGGGGCCCCAAAACCACACTGGGCCCCCAATTGAAATGCAAAAGCAAAAAAAAAAAAAGCATCATCCCTTACATAACCAATGCGCATTTACAATAACCAGAACATATGACATGAATGTTTGTTGTGTGTTTTAAGCACACACAATTTTTATTTTTTCACCCTGGAATTTCTATTTAAACCGTAAAAAATTCAAGTCATCGATAGTTACGACCGGATATCAGTGAAGTGGCCCCTGATGTAACAATTCCATCGGTCCCCATAAATGCTTGAAGTCGGACCAACAAAAAATGCTTTAAAGGCAATGCGATGTGTTGTTACTTGTGTTGTCCAGTAGGTGGCATCGCTGTCTTCCCATTTCTCCCACACAGAGGATTACTGTGGGTTTTAGGACCATCAAACATGAGGGTCAATATAGGAATGTAAGGCTGCACAATTCTGGCAACGAATCAATGGTATTTCTGGCCAACATTGGGGTTTTTGATATGTTTATGTTTAAAAAGAGTAATTTTGATGAGAGGAAACTTAAAACTTCAAGAGAGTCAAACCAACACATATGAAGCCATAACCTCACAATTCCCACACATTTCAGGAAATATATGAATTCCAACCAATATCAAGCAGAAACAAAAGATTCCCTTTTTTAGTACCATTTTTGTGGGCAAAATACTACAATAATTGCTGCCTTTGTGATTTGATAATTGGGACCAGAAAATGATTGTTATTGAACCATTTATTTGAATTGTTTTTATTTTATTGTAATTGTTTTTATTTAAAGCTGGCAGACTTGTGTATTTTAATACTAATAATTAATGTATTTGTTTTATATTTAATGTGCTAAATAAATAACCTGGATTGGATAGATTCCGCAAATGGCGAAGTGGCACGCTCTCTGCTAAAACCATTTCCAAGTGGTAACTTTTGTTTGTTACTTACGTGGCAATAAAAATGATTCTGATTCTGATTCTGTTTACCAATGACTGAAACGTGATCCAGTATCTGGATCTAAAGGCTGTGATTGTATATTTATATTCATATATATATATATATTTGAATGGACGTCCTTTGATGGTGCGATAGTCTCTGGGTGTTCCGCTGGTGGATCGTCACACGTCCAGCTCTGAGTCACTGTCTGTGATGGAGACAGGGGTGTCCTCGTCCCCATGTCCCGCACTGTCTCTGGGACTGTCCCCTCCGCTCAGCTCCCCTCCAGGACCCAGTCTGTGCAGCTGCAGCCTGAACACAGAGAGAGAGAGACAGGTGAGAATATGGACCTTAAGCCAAGACTGTTTCTTATTTATTTTCTCCACTGTTTTTTTTTTTTTTTGCCGATGCAGGACAAACTAAGGACATTAATTAACATTTCTGGACATTGGTCGTCCGCCCTTTATGGACAAATGACTTTATGTGTTTTTTATCATTGCATTTCTTATATTTGATCTGTTTGATTCTCTGATCTATGTTGACGAACCGACAACTTTGTAAAGTCCTCCGAGATAACTGCTGCTGTGATTTAGAGCTGTGCAAAAAAGAAACGAAGTGAACTGAAGCCATGTGGGAATGTCTAATGTGAATGTTTGGATAGAAGCTAACATTCATTTTGGACCTGAAATTTTTCTTTAAAAAAATAAATAAATACAAGTATGCGATAGACAGCATGGAGAGGTCTTTTTCTGTAACAAACAACATGTATCATATATAGAAAAAAGGTACCCCAGCTTTAAATCACGGGCGGCCTTTCAATTTGTGTTTTGCTTGAGGGCCATGTATTTGAAGCATAGACTGAGGATAAGGCCACAGAGAGATGGAGGAACATTTCCGAGAATCCGAAATCTATTACAGCTTTATTCAGTAGAACAATAACAAATATCTGGTGTAACTCAGTCCAAATATGAACGTTATGACAAAGAAAAATATTAAAATATAGTTGAAAAAAGCAAAATTGTGTTGCATTTTGTTTCTTTACCATAAGTTAGATGAATGAGTAATATACACTGAAAAGAAGTGACCAGAAAAACTTCCTCAATTTCTCCAAAGAATATGTTTTAAAGTTGAAAGCGTGTTATTATAAACACCAGGTCATTTTGTTTTATTCATTCTTTTCGCACGTAAATTTGCTGCCACAATTTATTTATCGTGCAATGTCTCTGTCTGAACTTTATAATGATGGAAAAATCTCCTCTTGCCTCGTGCTTCCAATTTCTTATTTCATACAATTTATATTTCTAAGTTGTCAACATCAAACTTTAGAGGATGTATGTACGTAATATAATTTGTTCTGACATATTCCTTGTTGTGTTGCCTTTGGAAAAGAGATGCTTTTAAATAGGTTTTTAAAAAAATGAATAAAATCAAGAATTATTGAAAAAACTAAATGTATAAATATGATATTATTTTCACCTGGATCTTTTAGCTTTTTTGACATCACACTGTTGCGTGTCTACAAAACAGTGATTTCAATTATAACTTATATTCTCTCCAACTCTCCAACTGTGCCTTTGGGGCTAACAACATTATTATTCAGCCCATTATCTATCTTATACTTTCTTATTTTTAAGCAATTTCTTATATTACACAGAGGAGACACCGCGACTGAGGATTCTAAACCATTGGTGATATATATAAAAATTTGAGTTAATGTTGAATCAACAAGTGAAGTTCCATGAAATCTTTTTTCGAAGAGGACTTCATCACTTTTCCGTTTTTTTTTAAATTCTGAAACAGCTCTGAACATGATGTCTTTATTTGGCCTTACACTCATTCTTTTAATGAGCAGAAATACTCCTCTAAGTATTGACTTTTAAAACATGTTATACACGAAAGTAAATAAAACATTTATTTTGTTTTAAGTACAACCATTATGAACTAAGATCCATGTCCTGTTTAAACACTGCTTCTGATGAAGACAGCGGCGCGCGCTCCCCAAACACAACTGCAGCTTCTTCAGTTTGATCAAAGTAAAACTGATTCATTAAACTGACTTCACTGAACCGTGTCTCTCTAAATATGTCCTAATGTTGAGTAAAGTGCAGCTGCTTCACTTCGTACCACATCTTTACGCACACATTACGCACGGGTTACGCACCTGTTTTTGGCGGCCGCTGCTCGGTCCCGTTGCCTCCGGTTCTTGAACCAGTTGCCCACCTGCGTGGGGGTGAGGCCTGTGGCGCGGGCCAGCTCGCGCTTCTTGCTGGGGTTGGGGTAGGGGTCCTGCAGGTACCACTCACGCAGCAGTCCGCGCGTGCGCTCCTTAAAGCAGTGCGTCTTCTGCTCTCCGTCCCAGATGGTCCGCGGCAGCGGGAACTTCTTCCGCACACGGTACTTGTCTACGGGCCCCAGCGGCCTCCCGCGCAGCCGCTCCGCCTCGCGGTAGTGCGCCTCGAGCCACATGGCCTGCAGTTTGGCGTGAGAGGCGCGCGTGAAGCGCTGTGTCTCCAGGATGTGGTACAGCTCTTTGAAACTGCCCGCGTGGAAGGCGACCACCGCACGCGCCCGCTGCACGGACTCGTGCTCGAAAATGGAATCAACACTGACCGGTAGTGACCAGAGGAACCGCGCGAGCCTTTCCACGTCCCCCGTGTCCTCCAGAGTCTCGCACACGCTCGCGACCTGCGCCGCGGAGAAGCAGAGTCCCGGGAGCGCTACGGGCGCACGCACGTGCGTGTCCAGCAGCGAGGACCGGAACAACGCGTCCATCTCCACGTGAGGGTCACGGACCTAAGGGTCACAGTCCTGAGGGAACAGTCCTGAGTGCACGGAGACCTGAGGGCGCAGACCTGAGGGAACAGGACTGTGTCACGGGACAGAGTCACGCAGGACTGACGCTGCGGGCGCGAAGAGCCTCTTTACACCTGCCTCAGCTCACTCCTGATTGGTCAGAGGCTCTGGAGGCTGGTTACCATGGAGCAGCTGTCAGTCACGCTCAGACTCACGCTCTTCATCTTTCACACACTGACGTGTTAATCTGCAGTTGACCTGGAGTCAAAGAACTCGTCACTTTTGTCTAAGTCCATATCTCTGATGTGTGAGAGATGATGAAGACCTCTCTGTGGCAGAATGACAGAACACTGAATAAAAGATCCAACATTCAGGAGAAATATCACAATACTCTGACTTCTGTTGACGTGCAGGAGATTACTGCAGCATATGTATCTCTACTTATCACTTTTCATTTTCTAATTTCCACAAATCCGTAGCATAAGCCACACTTCGCTCGATTACCTGGCATTAGTGCAGCATCTGTCGCCATTAAAACACATTCAATCAGCATCGGACTGATCTGGACCCGATTCTACAACTGTCTGGGTTTGGGAGGCTGCTGGAAAAAGAGCACAATAAAGACGCAAAAATCAGAATAAGACATTAACTCTGCACAGTCCACAGACGAGTGTACAGAAGTGCAGCAGGGCCAAAGGGGACATGTGGCTCTTTCGGGTCAATGCCAATTAGATAAATAACAGCAGATGTTGCGGCGTGTGCCACTTTTTTTATAATCTTATGCTGTGCGATAATTTGAGCCGTGGTTTAATTAACAAATATCTGGAAGAAGACATTGTGCTTTTGTCTGCTATCGGCCTATCTGTGTCACCACCACGTTTTAAATCTCTCCGAGGACAAAGGGCCTATACACAACAGCACAGGATCGCATTTAGAGCTGGGGGACCTAACTTTTGTGTTTCAGAATGAGTACTTTTTGTTTGTCCCTTCAGGAAAATTCTTCAGACCACAACAGGCTGTGTTCATCTTATTGGATAACGTTGGATTTATTTTTGTTTGTTTATTTGATGGGGACAATGCACATTCATGTATTGTCCCATAAAACACACGTAAATATGCCGGATTCTGGCTACAAAGAAAGTTTTTATCCGTAGTCCCTTTAGGCAAAAACATAAATTACAGCTTATATGGATAGAGTCCAGTGGCAGATAGACAGATATAGATAGATAGATAGATAGATAGAGGTAAATAGATTTTGTTATTTTATTCATTTATTTGAATGGGACAGTGCATGTCAATGAACAGACATATTAGAACATTAGAGTGTAAACAGGACAGACTATATAAGGCTGTAGTCCCATGGGGTTAGGGTCACAAGATAGATATATACTGTAGACAGATCCATCCAGCCATCTTCTTCCCCTTAATCCATTACTGGGTCAGGGGGGTGGCAGTCAGAGCTGCACCCAGTACACTTAGCACCAGCCCCTCACTGATCCTCCTGCAGGTGGTGAGTCCACAGGAGCTGAGATCTTTCAGCAGGAGCTTCGGGCAAAGTGGGGTTAAGTGTCTTGCCCAAGAACACAATGACAGCAGACATCAGTGGGAGTCGGTGGAGAGGTGGGTAACGAACTCAAGACCTTCAGGTCTAAAGGCCAATGCTCTACCAACTGAGCCACTGTCGCCCCATTAGCTAGATAGATATATACTGTAGATAGATAGATAGATATATACTGTAGATAGATAGATAGATATATACTGTAGATAGATAGATAGATAGATACTGTAGCTAGATATATAGATAGATAGATATATATATACTGTAGATAGATATATACTGTAGATAGATATATAGAGATATATATATATATATATATATATATATATATATATATATATATATACTGTAGATAGATATATATATATATACTGTAGATATATTTATACTGTAGATAGATAGATAGATACTGTAGATAGATATATAGATAGATAGATAGATATATACTGTAGATAGATATAAATATATACTGTAGATAGATAGATATACAGTATATATACTGTAGATAGATATAAATATATACTGTAGATAGAAAGATATACAGTATATATACTGTAGATAGATGTATATATAGATATATATATAGATATATACTGTAGATAGATATATAGATAGATAGATAAATAGAAAGATAGATATAGATATCAAATCATCCCACAAGGGGAAATTCAGGTGACCACCATGGGCTGACACACCTGACAGATTTATAACAATTACAATTTACAATTATAAAAATAAATATCTAATCCGAACACAAAACCCAGGATTAAACTTCTCACGGTTTGGATCTGTCTGTGATGAAGTCCTCTCTGTATATTCACTTGGAGGCTGTAGATTCTAGCAGTGAGAAACAAATGCTTTAACTTGAAATGAAAACCTGTTATTGTTACCGCTCGAGCAACAATCCGTGCAGTACAGCGTGAAACCAGAGAACCACAGCTTCAGACGAGACACAAACGATGAGGGATTTGTTGCTTTGGATGAACGAGTTTTTCTTAAGTGGAATTTCCTTTTCTTTTGCTTCTTTTCAGACTCAGGAAATCATTGTCTTTTCACTCCGCTGTGCGCCTTTGTCAACGCTAACCCGAGCAGCGTCACCTCTCACACACAAACTTCTGCTCCAGTCGTTCAAGTTTGAAGAGAAGTTTTAGTAGAAGAGTCCGAAGCAATTGTAATCTATCTGTCTATATCTCTCTCCATCTATCTAATCTACAAATGCATCTACAAATGTCCATATAAGGAAGTTGGCTCCAGCTAGTTTATGCTCTAATCCTCTTCCTCAGTCCACGGTCTATGGTGAAGCCCTACTGTGTTAGCATGCTAGCACATTTTTAAAAGCAAAGACACAAAACAATAACTGTTTCAAAGCTACTTAGGGACATGTTGCCATTTCCATAAAAAAATCAGCCTGGAGTCCTGGATCTACAGTCTGTCCATCTGTGGGAGCGGATCCCTTTCTCAATATGGGTCTCCCCGAGGTTTTTAAAACTTTTTTCCAATCGTTTCTTGCCGAAGCAGGACGGTCTAAGCACAGTGACGATCCGGGACATTTAAGAACATTATGGACATTGGTCGTCCCGCTCCCCATGGACCAATGGCTTCTGTGGGTTTGAACTGTTTGATTGAATCGCGTGGATCGCATGGACTTTGTAATGTCCTCCAAGACGACTGCTGTTGTGATTTAGGACCATACAACAACAACAAAATATTAATTCAAAACAAAGAAAATATTCTTGATTTTTACTAGAACTGTCATTTAGAAGATTTTGTGTTATTTCACTTGGTTTTATTTTGACTTAATTTCTCTGTGGTTTTAATTTAGTTTTACCTCATGTACTTGTGTCTCTCTACGTACCTGTGTCTCTGTGTCTATATGTACTTGTGTCTCTCTACGTACCTGTGTCTCTGTGTCTATGTACTTGTGTCTCTCTACGTACCTGTGTCTCTGTGTCTATATGTACCTGTGTCTCTCTACGTACCTGTGTCTCTGCGTCTATATGTACCTGTGTCTCTCTGCGTCTATATGTACCTGTGTCTCTCTGTGTCTATATGTACCTGTGTCTCTCTGTGTCTATATGTACCTGTGTCTCTCTGTGTCTATATGTACCTGTGTCTCTCTGTGTCTATATGTACCTGTGTCTCTCTGTATCTATATGTACCTGTGTCTCTCTGTATCTATATGTACCTGTGCTCCTCTGTGTCTATATGTACCTGTGTCTCTCTGTGTCTATATGTACCTGTGTCTCTCTGTGTCTATATGTACCTGTGTCTCTGTGTCTATATGTACCTGTGTCTCTCTGTATCTATATGTACCTGTGTCTCTCTGTATCTATATGTACCTGTGCTCCTCTGTGTCTATATGTACCTGTGTCTCTCTGTGTCTATATGTACCTGTGTCTCTCTGTGTCTATATGTACCTGTGTCTCTCTGTGTCTATATGTACCTGTGTCTCTCTGTATCTATATGTACCTGTGCTCCTCTGTGTCTATATGTACCTGTGTCTCTCTGTATCTATATGTACCTGTGTCTCTCTGTGTCTATATGTACCTGTGTCTCTCTGTGTCTATATGTACCTGTGTATCTGTGTCTATATGTACCTGTGTCTCTCTGTATCTATATGTACCTGTGCTCCTCTGTGTCTATATGTACCTGTGTCTATATGTACCTGTGTCTCTCTGTGTCTATATGTACCTGTGTCTCTGTGTCTATATGTACCTGTGCTCCTCTGTGTCTATATGTACCTGTGTCTCTCTGTATCTATATGTACCTGTGTCTCTGTGTCTATATGTACCTGTGTCTCTCTGCGTCTATATGTACCTGTGTCTCTGTGTCTATATGTACCTGTGTCTCTCTGTATCTATATGTACCTGTGCTCCTCTGTGTCTATATGTACCTGTGTCTCTCTGTGTCTGTATGTACCTGTGTCTCTCTGTATCTATATGTACCTGTGCTCCTCTGTGTCTATATGTACCTGTGTCTCTCTGTATCTATATGTACCTGTGTCTCTCTGTGTCTATATGTACCTGTGTCTCTCTGTGTCTATATGTACCTGTGTCTCTCTGTGTCTATATGTACCTGTGTCTCTCTGTATCTATATGTACCTGTGTCTCTCTGTATCTATATGTACCTGTGCTCCTCTGTGTCTATATGTACCTGTGCTCCTCTGTGTCTATATGTACCTGTGTCTCTCTGTGTCTATATGTACCTGTGTCTCTCTGTGTCTATATGTACCTGTGTCTCTCTGTGTCTATATGTACCTGTGTCTCTCTGTGTCTATATGTACCTGTGTCTCTCTGTATCTATATGTACCTGTGTCTCTCTGTATCTATATGTACCTGTGCTCCTCTGTGTCTATATGTACCTGTGTCTCTCTGTGTCTATATGTACCTGTGTCTCTCTGTGTCTATATGTACCTGTGTCT